TGTAGAAGCACCGCCATCCAGCAGACATTTCAAGGACTAAACGAGAGGTGGCACACGCACACTTTATTACGGCTTGCGCTTCGGGTCTACTTCCCACCTTTAACCACCTCGAGTTCATGGTTATAGGGAGATCTAGAAAAAGGGGGTAACAATTTATAGCACAAGGTGATCTACTATGGTAGAACATGGTATATACTAGTTCACAGTATTGGTGGCACTGCGGCCCAACGCTCGCTAAACCTTTCTAAAAGCAAGGAGGTTACACCCAGCGAGTATAACGTAGCAACCTTTCCTGTCAGATAGTGCTCAATGTACATGCCAATGGCTGCTAATGGGAAATGAGAGACAGGAGAATTCGGCTTTTACTTTCTTAGGGCTTGCCCTTTGTATCTACTACCTACCTTTAACCACCTCGAGTTCATTCATGGTATATACTAGTTCATTGTATTCATGGCACTGCGGCTCAACGCTCGCTAAACCTTTCTAAAACTAAGGAGGTTACGCCTAGCGAGTATAACGTAGCAACCCTTCCTTGTCAGATAGTGCTCAATGTACATGCCAATGGCTGCTAATGGGGATTGCAGCGTGTGCGTTAACTAAAAGCCGAATGCTCTTGTCTCTCATTCCCCATTAGCAGCCATTGGCATGTACATTGAGCACTATTTTTTATTGTTCAACAACGCACAGAAGAAATCTCTCACCGGCACCACCTTGGAGGTCAAAATGTTATGCTTGTTACATACTACAACGGTTACGAGGGATGAAAGGGTGCTGTTATAAAGAGCTTCGCCCCTAAAAAAGCAGCGCAGGTTCGAGGGCAGAATTAGCGAGTTTCTCTAACATTCTTCTACTCATGCCGGGGAAGCTATGCACGCTTACCTCAAGCATTGGCGTCGCCAACGCTTTCGTAAACGGAGCATAGGAGAGCCCTACGATCGAGAGTCACTGGGTGTCCATGCTATATACACTTCGCCTCCATTATTTCACAGCAGTGAATCTGCCACTTTTTTACTTTACATCTACTTTTAAAAAGGAACATAACAATTTGCGTAGCAAGAAAGGGAGGTCGAAATTTTCGGAGCCCTCCACTATGGCGTCTCTCATAATCATATGGTGATTTTGGGACGTTAAACCCCACATATCAATCAATCAAATTTAAGCCACGCACCGTCGTTGCGATTCGGACAATAGAAGTTGAAAGAATAATAGCTCGCCTGCTTATGTTTTTTTTTTTTGCTTACAACCAACTTGTTTTTGTGCCTGTACAAAAATACAAATGAAGAAGTTAAACATACTTTTCCTCGGGCCTAACTAGCTCCCCTTCCGGCGTTTAATCAGGGCTTGAATGATGTAGTAATGGGGAATTCGGAAGCGTGAACATTTTATCCAAGGTCCGTAACATATGAACTTATGCCTAAATAATCAATGTTGTTGCAAGGGATGGTCATAGGTGTCTATATTAATACTATATCCAGAGAGACGAAATTGTGTGCATCGTCAAGCAAAATTCTACATATCAGCATTGTTGTTCATCTATTACTAGAGTATTTATATTATTCAACTCTGTTTATATATTGAATTCATTAAAACATTTTATTCTTTTTCTTTTCATACAGTATTTTTATAGAACTTCTTCACTTCCTCCTTTGAACGACCTTACAACCTGCTGTTTTAATGGCTATCTTTAACTATTATGGGCACAATTATTCGATTTTACAAGCAAGTAAGCAAGCGAATAAAATTACCTGTTACATTATGAAATGTTGCTGTAGCAGTTAGTTTAGTAAGCCATGGGATCGCTAAGATATGCTCACTTTTAATCTCGTGTTTTTTGTGCGGTGCGGAAACAAGTGGACAGCCCTTTTTATTAATAGTGCCTTACGTTCCTTATTGGATTGAATGAAGGCGATTCATCTGACGCAAGACCCGTTCCACGTTAGTCAGATGCGGAAAACTCTTCGACAGCGTAAAGCTGAGTGAGTTCCTTGCCCGATTCGCACGGTTGAGATACTCAAGTTGCATCACTGTAACACGGAAGCTCCGGGCCGTCCGGTTTCCACGATGCCATGCCATTGCCACAATTGTAATTTGCATATTCAAGCCTATACACAGCAAGCCTGGTGTTGCGTGACCACTCCGGTCTCCTGGCGATCTCTCAGCCACTTCGTAAGAGAGCTCTCATGATGTCGAGTCACGTTTCGCAATATATACTGAACAAAATGTTGTTATAAAAGCATTAGCAAGACTATAAACGAATTCTAAGGTACTATGGGCTTAGAATACGATATGATTGTGAGACTGCTTTAATCTTGGCCAGCTGCGTTTTTTTTTTTGTTCATTGTAAGGCCCTTTTTTTTTTGAGTCAGCCTATAGAATAATGTGGACGCGGCGAACAAAAATTGAACACACGAAAACGCGATTGGCACACGCTACGGCTGCTAATTTCATTAGCATAAAAGGGGGACAGGATTTTGGGCAAGGCAGCACTCAAAACAGCAGTAGGCCATGATGTAGCGTCAGGAACCAGTTCGACCACAAGTTATGTGCAGCGTATGTGCAGCGAAAAAATAAGGCAAGAAAGAAAAAGTAAACTGACTCTAGGAAGGAACACAGAAACGACGTGGTGTGGCATTGCAATAGAGTTGAATGTGCGAGTAATGAAAAGTTAGCTCTGTGTTGTCTTGAATGTGCCTTCTATTGTCCGTGTCCTCAGTGAGCGCTAAAATTAATTATCATACTGCTATACCAACAAGCCAGAATAGCCACCCTCATCGAGTTGTAGGACTTTACATGAATACATTGGTTATGGTGGTGGGACAAAAAGATATTCGGAAGCGTGCAAGAGTGTCAGCGGAGAGCTCACTTGACCCAAGCTCAACATCCGTGTTTTTTTGGAGGGGGGGGGGGGGCGTATATCTATCTATCTATCTATCTATCTATCTATCTATCTATCTATCTATCTATCTATCTATCTATCTATCTATCTATCTATCTATCTATCTATCTATCTATCTATCTATCTATCTATCTATCTATCTATCTATCTATCTATCTATCTATCTGTCTGTCTGTCTGTCTGTCTGTCTGTCTGTCTGTCTGTCTGTCTGTCTGTCTGTCTGTCTGTCTGTCTGTCTGTCTGTTAGAAGCCGGTTCACTGTCTGTCTGTCTGTTAGAAGCCGGTTCACTGTCTGTCTGTCTGTTAGAAGCCGGTTCACTGTCTGTCTGTCTGTCTGTCTACGACTTTGAGCTCTCCCGGTTTAAATATATACCACAATTGTTGTGCCATAACATGACTGTAAGGCGAGCATTACTGACTAGTCATAACATGAAAATCATATCATGTATGTCATGAATGTAATGTTTTACATTTCGTGGTCTGGCTGCTCTTGCGGTGGTTTTGTTCACATGACATATTGGAAAATTGGTATGGTGTGACATGACTGCATGACGAACACAAGTGACATACCTTAACGTAGAAATTATGACATGCATGTCATGTAAGTGATGACTACACGCCGAGCTCATGGTGCGCTCGCGGTCGTTTCGCTAGCTTGACTTATACGAAACTTGATATTACGGTACGTGAATGGATGACAAGTGTATATGACTGGTGCAAACATGATAATCATTTATTGATTGATATGTGGGGTTTAACGTGCCAAAACCACCATATGATTATAAGAGACGCCGTAGTAGAGGGCTCCGGAGATTTCGACCACCTGCCACTCTTTAACGTGCGCCCAAATCTGAGCACTCAGGCCTGCAGCATTTTCGCCTCCATCGAAAACGCAGCCGCCGCAGCCGGGATTCGATCCCCCTACCTGCAGGTCAGCAGCCGAGTATCTTAGCCACTCGACCACCGTATGACATGCGGGTCATGTAAAACATGATTACACGCTACGTTCATAGCGTGCTCGCAGCCGTTTCGCTAGCATCACATATACGAAATTTTCTCTGTGGTGGCTTCATTTCCGATAGAGGCGGAAATGTTGTAGGCCCGTGAGCTTAGATTTAGGTGCACGTTAAAGAACCCCAGGTGGTCGAAATTTCCGGAGCCCTCCACTCGTAATCATCACCACTCGTAATCATATGGTGGTTTTGAGACGTTCAACCTGACATATCAATTAATCGTTACAAAATTTGATATTATGTGGCGTGAATGGATGACGAAAGTATGTGACTGGTGCAAACATGATAATTATGAGATGCGTGTCATGTAAAGCATGACTACATGATATACTCATAGCGCGCTCGCGGCCGTTTCGCTAGCTCAACGTATACCAAATTCCGTATCATGTGACGTGAATAGACAACGAAGTTAAATGACACGTCCAAACACGATAATCATGACATGCGTTTCATGTAGAACATGGCTACATGCTACGCTCACAGCACGCTCGCGGCCGTTTCGCTAGCTCCACATATACATTTCGTATCACGTGACGTGAATAGACGACTAAGGTAAATGACACGTCCAAACATGCATTATAATCATGACGTGGAAGTCATGTATGGCATAATTTACGTCCGCCTTGCAACGTTGTGCCGATTTTGAAGTGGCATATCAAACTTCCTCATTCTTCTTTTGCATATCTTCGATTGCCACAGTTCGTGAGATCTGCCTTTTTTTTCTTTTTGTTTTGAAGCAGACATGTGGGCGAGTGGTAGAGCATTTGCTTGCCACGCATACACTCTGGGATCTATCCTTGGACGCAGAATTTTTTATCCTTAGTGCGTACTTTTAGTGGATGAAGTCGGTGGGAACTTGCTATGCACCCACTACGTGGCCTTATGGGAATAAGCGCAGTAGCGTGTGTCCGTTTTGTGGTGGGTGAGCGGCTTAAAAACCCCGAGGCCATAAGCATAATCACATGTGACAGCCGCTGGCAATGGGCACTTGTACCATGCATTATTACTGCAATAGTTCATGTTGCATTGTTAAGCATGCACACAGGAGGCGTGTGTGTGTAAAGAACGAAAGGTACTTGCAATGCATTTCCGAGCAGAGGAAATTCTTTTCACTGTTTTCAGAAGCAGAGACGTGGCCGTGTGATAGAACATCCACTTGACACGCCAACGACCTGGGGCTGGATCCCCACTCGTACCCGAACAACACTGGTGCGGTCCCCACTCTGACAAAGGTATTTATTATTATTTATTTTATCTGCATAGTTCTTGATTTTTCGGTCACGCATAAGATGATGTTTAGCTCACAACCACCAACGCCGGAATTGCTGCGAAACGAGCTCTTTAACGCTATCGCGTTAATATGCAAACTCACGCACGAACATAGGCAAAGGGTAGTTAAAACCCCTTCCCCTTTCTCACACAAAGTAGCCGCATTGACTGTCGATGCTTCTTGTGTTGGCCCTTGGGTAACAGCTCCTTTACCCACACGAAGTGTTCTTCAACAGAAAGGGTGGCGTGCACACACGTCATCACGAGAACAGGTAGTTCACAAGCAGCGGCACAACGACCACGCACACGCTGAGGATGACGATGGCCATTTCGAGAGCGTGTGAAACAATCTTGTCGGTGCCCAAGAGCTTGTTCAGTTGGCGCGCTGAAGAGACGCTGATGCTGTCGTCTAAAACGGCTGAATCGTGCCTCGTCCTGATCGGCGCCTCGATGCGCTGCTGGGTGCCGATCACGGCATCAGCCGCGCCATGCCACATGTGCGGCCCCTGCAGACGGAACATGTAGGGCACTTGGGGCCCTGTGAGAAGTGCCCAGAAAAGCCCAGGCCGCTGCAGCAGCGCCATAGCGAGGCTTGGGTCGGCGCCGATGCGGCGAGCCAGGTCGCGCGTGTACGGCATGTAGTCCACCTGAATGGTGTGCCGTGGACTGGACACATAGCGGGAGCGCTGCGCCGTATCCGTGCGCTCTACATCGAACAGCATCTCCTCCTGCAGGAAAGACATGAAAGCGATTGATCGATTTAATGATTGATTGATTGATTGATTGATCGATTTGGTTGCGTGAGTGGTAGGACGCCTTAGAAGAGGCCGTCCACCGAAAAAGAGAACTAGAAGAAGGGGTACACAATGAGGATAAATCAAAGGAAGCGAGAAATATAAAGAAAAAAAAACTGCGAGGCTAACCATATGAAATCTGGGGTTCACTACCCTGTACTTGTAAAGGGGAGAGGAGGTGTACAAGAATGAAAGAAAAGAGAAAGAGTCTATGACAACTGAAGGAGACAAAGCAAACAAAGCAATGTCATGACTATAGCACCGTCCAAATAGTACACACCAACATTGTCTATGAACAACCACAATTTTTCGTGTGTCTGGTTCTTTGAACAAACTGCAACAATGCCCTCACAGCGGCTCGCTTTCGAAACTGGGCAGGCAGTTCTCTAATATTTGGTCTTCTGTAAGAGGGCGATTTATTTATTTTTTATTTATAGAATACTGCGGACACAAAGTCCAAGCAGGGTGAGCATACATGAAACACACTGAATAACAGAATGAAACAAGGTTGCAAAGCGTTTTTTACACAATTTCTTTGCTATAAGACAGAGGGGTTATGACTTTAAAAAAAAAGTCACAATTGAACTACAAGGTGATAATACAATTCTAAGGAAGTCATGGAAGAATAGTATTTACACAAATGGTCAAGGGCGTTGAGGAAATGCTTCGGTTGGTTTATTCCAATCATCTATTGTTTGTGGGAAGAAGGAGTACCGAAAAGTATCAGTCCTTGCGAAGATTGGCGTTAGGGAATGAGGATAGTGGTGTCGAGTGGGTCTGCTTAACAAGGGGGATACGTATGCTGCGGTGTCTAAGGGTAGCCTGTGCTTCACTATGTCTGAAAGAAACTGTAGCCGACTTTTTGCTCTTCGAATTTGTAATGGTTCTATACCATTTGCCGTTAGTAATGCAGTGGGAGAGTCGGTTGACATAAATTTACTATATATGAATCGTACTGCTTTCTTTTTTAATTCTTTCTAGGTTTTGAACGTTAATTTTTGTGTGGGGATCCCAAACTATGGAGGCGTACTCAAGTTTAGGCCTAATTAAGGAAAAGTAGGAGAGGAGTTTAACACTAGGGGGAGCAGTCTTGAGCTTGTGGCGGAGAAGGCATAATTTACGGAAAGCGGCAGAGCAGATGTTATTTACGTGCAAATTCTAGGATAAGGTACTTGTTAACGTTAAGCCTAAGTATTTATAGGAGGCTACTTTAAGTAAAGGTGCTTCAACTAAATTGTATGTGTAGTCTAACGGGACTTTTTTGCGCGTTGTGGGGAGATACACACATTTGTTTGCATTAAGAAGCATTCCCCATTGTTCACACCATTTTGATACATTGCCTAAGTTAGTATTAAGATCACATTGGTCACTAATTCAGGTTACATCTCTAAACAAAACACAATCGTCAGCAAATAAACGAATTTGTACCGGGGTGCTAATTACATTGACAATGTCATTAATGTAGACCAGAAACAGAAGGGGGCCTAGTACGCTCCCCTGCGGAACGCCAGAAGTCACAGGAAGGCAGCCCGATTGTTTTTCTCCTACCTGAACATATTGGTTGCGATTGAGTAGATAAGCTGAGATCCAGGAGATAAATAATTCTGGTATACCAACTAACCGAAGCTTTATAATTAGTTTATCGTGTGGAACTGTGTCGAATGCTTTACTGTAGTCTAAGAATATTACATCAATTTGGCCGTTAGCATCAAGACAAGCTGCAAAGATATGAACGATAGTAACCAATTGTGTTGTAGTAGAAAATCCTTTGCGAAACCCATGTTGATGATTTGTTAAAACTGAGCGTTCTTCTAAGAATTCATTTAATTTATGAGCTATTATGTGTTCGATAAGCTTACAGCATGATGATGTTAAGGAGATCGGTCGATAATTTTGTAGTACTAAACGGTCACCTTTCTTGAATATAGGAACTATTCGTGCCGACTTCCAGTCATCTGGCAATTCCGCTGACAACAGAGAGACTCGAAAAATGACGAGTAAGTATTTTGCAACAGACTCTGCAAAGCGACGCAGAAATATGTTGGGGATATTGTCGGGACCGCAAGAAGTCTTAGTCTTTGAGTTCAACAACATAGCAACGACACGAGAATAAGAAATAAAGTTTACATTTGCAGATGTCCGCATTTATGACAGATGGGGAAGCACTAGGAGTAGAAAATACACGATGAAAATACTCATTGAGGTGTTGAGCAATGGCAGCCTGATCAGATACCATTGAACCATTGACAAAAACCTGTGATATGGGTTTCCTTTTTTCGCTAATATAGTTCTAGAACTTCTTTGGATCATTCTTTATGAAGTTTGTGAGTGACGTATTGAAATAGTATTCCTTCGAGGTGTGTACGGCATGTGCAAGCTTATCTAGAGCGTCAGCTATAACTTTGGGGTCAGCATGCTTTTTCTTTAATCTTTTAACTTTACGCTTAAGATGAATGATGCTTTTCGTCATCCAGGGCGTATGTTTATGCACCTTTTTGCGTTTAGACGGTATAAATTTTTCGATACGGTAGAAGCATATGCGTTTAAATTGGTGCCACAATCTACAAACATCGGTAGCTACAAAATCTATCAGACAGGTTTCTAGGTGCTCGATAATGCAAGCAGATTTCTCAGCTGGCACAGTGCGACTGAAAGGGCTGCTCTTTCCGAATTGAAGCGGATGCACTCGTCCACCGTAAACGACTCAATGAAACAGCTGGGCTATGGTAGATGCTGCTGGTAGACACTGAAATAACACTGGGGCTCTTGGGCAAACCCCTGAACCTAAAAGTATAGCACTTCTTGCGTCCCGCACACAGGTCCGCACATCCGCTACCCGCACAGTCGCACCGCCCCTGGTTGGGACACCTGCCGCCTGCAAGTGGAGGACGAAGGAATGAATCGGCGACGCTCTTTCGCCCTCCGCTTGCGTGCGGCAGCTCTGGCCGACTGGGCTCGCCCTACGTCATCTCCTGACGCCGACGGCCTTCGACGACAGTGTAGCTCTGACCGACTGGATTTGCTCTACGCCATCTACTGACGCCGACAAGAGCTCTCGCAAGTGGTGCCCCGTCCTCGGACTCCTGTGACCGTGTCTCCTTCTTTCCTATCTCTCCTATCCCCTCGATATGTCGTCTCTCTCACGCTTACCACCTCACGTTTCTTTCTCTATACCTCTATTCTTACCCTTTTAATTCCTCCTCACCCCCATCCCTAGTGAGCTACTGTTGAGGTGTCGCTCGCTGAAGCAGACAGTTACGGGGCTCACTTTTCTTTTCCTTTCTCACTTGGAACCACTTAGAGTTGTCCCACCACGTGCGGTGAAGATGTGCGGGCAGCGCCTGTACAGGCCCTAGTGGGGTGCTGACACCAGAATTTCATAGCGCGGCCTCACGGTTGCCAATATGCTTGACCTCGTATCTTCACCCGGGAACTTAAGGAATAGAAAAGGGTTCACTTGCCTTGGAAGGTAACTGGACCTTGCCTAACAGCACCTGGACGACCCAGCGCGCTTGCATCTCGGCGATGGGGTTGATTGCGCCGAGCGGCTGGATGTAGCCTAAGAAGCTCAAAGTTTCTGGATGTTCCATGTGTGCAGGAAACACGTACTTGAACAAGGGAAGCCGATTGCTATCAACCCGCAGCAATGACTCATCCAGGAACGGGAATCTGAAACAATAAAAAAACGCAGCACAATATGATGATCGCGCCTCTAACAATTAAACAACTATCCAAGACGCTTGTCACAATATTAGGCACAGATGGCGTTTGGATACGATTCCTAGCAAACTTTTCGGACTGCCATATGTTGTTTCAGAACACAGCATGCTTAAAGTTGTTACGCGTGGCATTTGCATTTATGAATGAAGTGAAAGAAATCAAGGACTCGTTTTTTTTCTTACGACTTTATGAAGACGCGCAAACTATGCAACTGTGCTAATTACGAACTACAAAAGTTACACAGCCTCCCATACATGTATTGTACACTTCGCCAAGTTCGACCAATGAACCATTCAACCATCCGAGCAAATTAATGAATGAACTGAGTGTGAGGAAAGTGAGCGGGTGAGTGGACATTAACATGGCAACAAAATTATGGAACATAAGTGTTTTGCGAACGGGTGGAGGTGACGGCAGCTGCGGCGAGCGTGCTGCCTATGAGTAAGAGTGTGACGTCAGCGTGAATCTGTCAGGAAAGCGTGCGAGGGGAGCGTGACGGTTTCGCGCAGCTGCGGCCTGACGCACGCGTTGGCACCGCTCCAACACCTGATCTTCTAACCACTACCACCACCACTACACCTGCGGCGAGGGGAACGCGTGGCGACGCGTTCGTACTGACGCCGTTACACACTTGATTCAAAGAGCTGCTTCGCATCTAAAAGAGAAAAAAAGCTTAGGTCACAAACAGTCTTCTCGTGCAAGTGCACTAATTAGCGGAAACACATTTCTACAGATCCATTCAATGACACACACACACCCTACAGCAGGGGCGAAGTTAACGCTCTGTATCATCGCCGCGCGTCTTTCGATGCTGCTCACCTGATGTCGTATCCCGTGGCGAGCACGACGTCGTCGACCTTGGTGTCCTCGGCGTCCCCTCGGAAGCGGACTCCCGTCTCGGTGAACTCGTCGACGTCGCCCTTGATGACGAGCGTGCCGCTGAGCACGCGGTTGGCGAGCGCGTCGTTGATGGTCGGGTGCTGCTGGAACAGGCGGTGCCGGGGCTTCAGGCCGAGCAGGTCGTGGTTGAGCAGCCTCTGGCACTCGCGCTCCGCCATGTGGTTCAGCACCCACAGGGGCAGGTGCTGGAAGTAGCGGCGCTGGATGAGCGTGTCCATGGGCAAGCCATTGGGCGCCACCCGGTGCAGCACCCAGGAGCCGCGACGCGTGCTCAGGTACACCTGCGGTAGCACACAAGACGAGCTGATGTCCGCCCTGGTGGATCTGTCGCTAGGGTGCGCGGCTACTGACCCGAAGGTCACCGGTTCTATTCCGGCAGCGGCAGTCGCATTTCGATTTATAGGCGAAATGGTATAAGGCCCGTGCGATGTCGGTTCACGTTAAAGAACAGCAGATCGTTAAATTTTCGGGAGCCCTCCACTACCGCGTCCCTCATAATCATATCATGATTTTGAGTTGTTAAACCCCACATAGTAATATTAGAGGCCAGGATCACGCGGGGAATTGGAACACTCGTTGTAAATGCTTTTAAACTTCTCTTACAAGCCCGTACACTAGAGTAGGGATGAAGAACCGACGGGCGCAGACTCGCAAGTGAATGTTAAATAGGTGAAAATTGACGTATATGGGAAGAATGACCGGATGGCACACGATCACTGCGTCATTCAAAATGATGGCGCGCTGCCGTAATGACAGCGTATTGTTGTTTGGATATTATATTGACTCTCACTGTTTCTTTATGATCCCATTTCCTGTCGTCGAAATTAATTGAAGTAATAAATGAACAACAACGTTACAGATAATATTGCCCGAAGACCTTTTCACGCGTGATATCAGACAATTAAATGATTTTGGTTAAAAGTGTGAGCATACAATTATTTTACTGTCCTGATTATGCGCATCCCAAAGTGGAAGAACCAGTCGCCCAAATTGAACGCAATTGAGTTGGGCATGAAACAATTACAATGGCTCACTTCTTTTCCCTGAGGGAAAAAAATAAAAGAGCACGAAAGGACACTTCAAGGTCGAAGGCAAATACAAGGGCTTAACTGCAAATGAAAGCATCATTGTGTCATTCCCATATATAATTACTTAAGCAGTAAGCGACATAGAACGAAAAGAACACGTTGATAGGTTTAACTGCACTAAAAGGAATGCGTGCTTTTGCCAAGTATACACGGTATAGCGTAATTGAGAGGTATGCTTGCGCCCAAAGTGTTTTCTTGGTTAATGACGCATGCGTATCGCAAATCTCACTGCGAGTGCCCTGCATGCATCAGCGCCGATTTCACTTACCCTCTTTAGACGAGGCATACCAGTTACACTCTCGCCTGCACCATATTCTTTTAGCTATGTGCAATTTTAAATGCGAACAATTTCTTCGCGTACTGCAAGCACTTTTGGCATCCATCCGTCCGCCCGTCCGTCTGTTCATTCATACATCTAGATATCTACGTATGGGACCTCACGTGATCACTCCCTTAACTTGAGGTAAACAAAAATTAGTATGGGGGGGGGGGTATGATGATTTGACGAGTATGACTTGCTGCTCATGACATGAATAATGTCACAATCTCGTCTTGTACATCATCAAACACTTTCCGCCAGACAGTGCGCATACGCGCGGGCTGGTATTGGTCACTGGAATGCGGGTACGTGCTACAGGTGTTTAACACCTAATATCTACCCATGGAACGGCGAGAACACACATGGGTAATTTTAACGCGTGAGAGTTAAGAAACCACAATCACATCATATCCACAGTGTGAATGATGATGAGTGGGGTGAGGCGTCCTTCCACACGTCTGTCCGTCCGTCCGTGCGTCCGGACGGACCGACGGATGGACAGAAGCATGGACGCGTGGACGGATGTACGCATGAATGGATGGACAGGCGGACGGAAACACGGACCGTCAGACGTATGGTCCGTCAGACGCATGGACAGACAGAACCACGCAATCACGGACGGATGGAAGCATGGATGGACGGATGCACGAAGACGTACGGACGGATGAACAAAAGCATGGACGGATCGGCACACGGACGGATAGAGGTTTACAAAGAGGGTTCAACTTAAATTGAGGACGATGCAGTGAGTGATGGAAAGGAAAATGATAGGCGTAAGCTTAAGAGACAAGGAGAGAGCAGTAGGACAGGGAACGAACCGGGGTTAAAAATGCCATAGTTGAAATCGGGAAGAAGAAATGGACATGGGCCGGCCACGTAGCGCGTAGGCAGGACAACCACTGATGATTCAGGGTAACTTACTGGATTCTAACAGAAGGGAAACGTTTGAGAGGGGGACGGAAAATTAGACGTGCAGAGGAGGTTTAGAAATTCGCAGGCACAATGTGGCAGAGAAAGCACAAAACTGGGTTGACTGGCGGGTGATGGGAGAGGCCTTTGCCCTGCAGTGGGCGTAGTCGGGCAGATGATTATGCAGATGGTGATGCAGATGCTGATGCTGCTGATAATGATGAAAGGTTTTTCCACTTTTACAATACTCTCATTTACCGTTTCATCTGGTGCCAAAGCGTTACTTCTTTTTGGAAACTTTAAGCCATGAAACCTAGTTCGTGCCAAAAGGACTAAAGTTGATGTCTTCTTCCTTTCATTCTTTCTTTCTCTTTTTTTTTCTTTTCCTTTGTCTCCCCTTTCTCCTTTCTTTCTTGCTTTATTTTTCCTTTGTTTACTTCTTCCCATTTTTGTCTGTTATTCGTTTATATATTATTGCTTTCATTGTTTTTGGTTCTTTCTTTCTTCCACCCGGGCCTTCGTAAAGCATCATGTGAACTTCAATCGATCGCTTCGCTGACTGTTTTTTTATTTCTTTTTTAAGGATGCGAAAGAAGTTTCCTCGCCTTGGTACATTATGCTAATGGAGGAAAGAAAAGGAAACGGCACAGCGCTGCAACTACAAGATCGACGTTTCTAATATCCTGTCATGTATACCGTGTGACCGGGCATTATAGCCCACTAGAGAAAAAAAGATAATCCCTTCGCGAAAGCACGACAAATTGCCTCGGCTCTCCCCGTTTACCACAAATGCCTGCGGGCTGGAGGACGCGTTCATGCATATGCGGCTAACGACACAGATACCGAGGGCGCCTGTCTATTGTTGCATGTCCTGTTGGCTGGTGCAACGCGCACACTTGCGTAAACAAGACTAAGGACGTTTGACAATATATTATTCCTTTGTACCATCACGGAAGTCTCGCAGCAGAAGTATAGTTGCCGTAATATTGACATTTACCAGCAACCTAACTATCTCCAATGCTTGATATTTTCCTTATTTTGAGAACGTTAACGATCCAATCCATTGACCTTAAGGTATTGCACGTGATTCAATGAGTTATACTTAAGTCTATCGAGAAAGACCTGAAGGACCGAATGGCCGTCTTCTGTCGCTACAATGCCAACGCAATTATTTAGCGAATGCTTAAGCAGGTAAAGGTGCACTTGCATGATGTGGTGAGTGACCTATTCATAGCAAGATAAAGAATCCGGTTGGCTGTTAAGCCTTAATTATGTATTATTAGCAAGAAGCGCACTGAAGCGCGATTCGTTACGCGGGCGTAATGTGACAAGGTTCAGTACTCGCCATTTCGTGCAGTGTGTATTTTTTTTTACATTGTTGCGATGCCCGGCTTTATTCGCTGCCACCGACTTAACGCTTGGTTTGCAGAGGGGAAACGGGTGCGTTCGCGTGATGCTCGGGCTAGTCTGTGCTGTCGTGGCTCGGGGTGCTGTGGTAGCGTGGTGTAGCTTCGGGTTGAGGAAACGACCGCTTACAAGATGGGGATACGAAAAACAAACAAGGTTTATGGCACTATTTACAAATATTTACAGCATGAGGTTAAGAGTTCACAAACCACGAGCGTGGTGGTTAAACCTTTGCTTGGTTCAGAGCGACGTCCTGCACTCTGCGGCGCCGTTATAAGCCCTGTCGGGCTCCTCCTTCTTCAGTCGAACACCAATCACATACACACAACAGGTGAGGGGTACGAGCAGGCACGGCGCACGTGAACAGCCAATTTCGAGTCAAGATCACTGCACTTAAAGGTGGCGCCAGAGGGGCTCTTGCTCGTCGTGTGTGTCACTGGTCGAGGGATCCCAAGCTTCGGACAGCAGAGATCAAACGGTCCGCCAACCTCTCTGCTCAATTAGCAGGGCATTTTGTGGCGGCGGTCGCCGTTTCTACAAAGGAAGACGCTGTCTTTGTTGTCCCCTCTGGAACGGCTTACCGCTTCGTGGCGACGTGACGTCTCATCCGCCGGCTAACAGTGACAATACCTGGCGGGCATAAGCATTCGGCGAGTCGGCTACTTGTTTGAGGGTCAAAAGAGCGCCGCTCCCCCGTCAGATCTCGACGCTGGTTCCAAGAAAACCTGGGTTCCAGGCGTGGGAACGCGGCCCGGCTACGCTTCTCAGCGACAGCATGGCGCCTACCGATGGCGGTCGTAACAGCTTCCCCCTCGCCAGATGAGTCACGGAGGGCAGCGGTCAACACTGCTGCTCGCAGGGACGACGAAAGGGTCAGTAGTTGAATGCCAAGAACTGGCCTTCGCTTGTGGCATGGTCCGGGTGATCGCCGAATCTTCGACAGCATCTCTGATACTCGACCACATGTACAAGTAAGCACTCGGCCCCCTTCGAACAAACCAAGCCAAAAGAGGGATAGCAAACCAATTTTAATTACTAGCTTTAACAAAAGCTCACACTCAGAACTCTCAGGATTCACTTGTGCTGAGAAATCAAACGTGCTACCTTAAAAATTTGCATACGATGCACGAAAAACTAAAATATCAATTTTGTTACACCAAGAGCACTCCAGAATGGTTTAGAAAGAGCGGCTGAGCGCGTCCGCGTTTCCATTCAATTTGCCTTTTTTATACTTAATATCAAAATGATATTGCTGAAGAATCAAGCTCCACCTCAAAAGGCGACTGTTCTTCGATGTCGCAGTTTTCAGCCAGGTAAGGGGACAATGGTCTGTTTCTACTGTAAATTTAGCACCTCCGAGGTAACACTGCCACTTATGAATGGCCCACACAATGCAAGCGCACTCCTTTTCTGAAGCGCAGTACGCCATCTCACGAGAACTCAATTTCCTGCTCAAATAGAGCACGGGATGTTCTTTACCATCGTCATCCTTCTGACATAGAACGGCTCCTAGACCTCGATCGCTAGCATCACATTGGACCGTGAATTCGCGGTCGTAATCAGGAGCTTTCAAGACTGGACGGCTGATCAATGCTGCCTTCAGTTTTAAGAAGGCGGTTTCTTTCTTTTCATCCCAGGCCACCTTCGTAGGCTCTGTCCCGCGGAGAGCATCGGTCAAAGGACTTGCCAACGTGGAATAATCTCGGATGTAATGATTGTAGTAGCCTGTGAGTCCTAGAAACGCCCTGACGTCGGTCTTTGTTATTGGCCGGGGATAGTCAGCTACTGCTGAGATCTTTAGCTCGCAGGGTTTCCTGAAACCTTGTCCTACGTTGTGACCTAAGTAGTCGACGGTTGCTCTCGCAAGACAACACTTCTCAGCCTTTACGGTAAGCCCTGCTTGACGCAACCGGCCGAGCACCTCCCTTAAATGCATCAAATGATCCACCCAGGCATCGGAGAATACAGCGATGTCATCCAAGTAAGGTACAGCAAAAGCCTCGCAGCCCTTTAAAACCTTGTCCATAAGGCGGGAAAAACAAAACGGAGCATTTTTGAGACCGAAGCTCATCATAGTGGGTTGATAGCTGCCCGCGGGAGTAACGAAAGCTGCGTATCGGCTGGCTCGCTCAGTGAGCGGCACTTGCCAGTAACCTCGAGTAAGGTCCAACGTAGTCACGTAAGCTGCTCGACTAACCTGTTCCACTCTCTCTTCAATGTTCGGAATCGGATACACCTGATCCTTTGTGAGAGCATTTAACTTTCGATAGTCAACTACAGGTCTCGGGTCTTTGCCCGGAGCTTCTACCAAGATCATTGGAGAAGCATATTCGCTCTCTGAGGGTTTAATTACTCCTAACTCCAGCATGCGCTTTACTTCTTTATCGAGAATATCTTTCTGTCGTGGAGATAAACGATAACAATTGGACCTCACGGGTTCCTCGGAAGTCAACTCAATGTCGTGCTCAGTCAAATCAGTCCGACCCGGCTTGTCAACAAAGCAGTCGTCAAACTCTCCTATCAGCCCGCAAAGATCGGAAAGCTGGGATTCTTTTAGTTCCTTTCTTTGCTTAGTTTTATTAAGGAGTTCTTTAGCGCTGCCTTTCCCTCCATTTAGACAAACAAAGTTGTCCTCCATCTCCTCAGGAAGATTCAGGGTCATATTCACCACAGCCTCTCTTTGCACATAAGGCTTCATTAGGTTGCAATGATAAATGCGTACCTCTTTACGTCTACCTGGAATTTTCACTGCGTAGTTGGTCATAGATAGCTTTGCAACTACTTCCGCAGGCCCTTCCCACTGTACTTCGAGCCTGTTCTGCCTTGACGCTCTTAACAACATGACCCGGTCCCCTATATTGAAAGTTCGTTGACGAGCTGTTCTATCATAGTAAACTTTTGATCGGGCCTGGGCTGACTTCATGCTGACCTTCACAAGTTCTTTGGCCTTATATAGCCGCTCCAGTAGATTGAGAATGAACTCTACCACGGTCGGATCTTCTCCCTGTCCTTCCCACGCTTCGCGCACCATTCTCAAAGGTGAGCGCAATGACCTACCGTACACCAACTCGGCGGGGCTAAAACCAGTGGATTCGTGGGGTACCGTCCGCAAAGCAAAAAGTGCCGCTGGGAGGCATGCATCCCAGTCTCGTTTGTTCTCGTAACACAATCCTCGAAGGACGCGCTTCAGGACGGAATGCCATCTTTCTACGCTATTGCTCTGAGGGGTGATGAATAGAGCTGTGCACTATTTTTATGCCACATCGTTCGAAAAAAGAGGTCGTGAGGACACTAGTGAATACGCTGCCCTGGTCACTCTGTATCTCTGTAGGAAACCCTACTCGCGAAAAGACGGACAACAGGGAATCCACAACACTCTGTGACGTAACCTCACGCAGTGCCACTGCCTCAGGAAATTTAGTGGCTGGGCATAACATAGTTAGAATGTAACGACATCCTGTCTTTGTCACAGGGAGTGGTCCCACTATATCGATCACTAACCGTTGAAACGGCTCGGTAATGATCGGCACTAACACCATAGGTGCTTTACACTTATCCTGCGCCTTTCCAACTCGCTGGCATGTGTCGCACGACCGCACAAAATTTTCCACGTCTTTGAAACAGCCAGGCCAGTAATACTCTTGTAATAGCCTCAGCTTAGTTTTTCTGTGTCCAAGGTGACACGCCCACGAACTGCCATGTGAAAGTTTGAGCAGATCTGCGCGATATTTCTGGGGAACGACTAGTTGGTCTCGTTCCACTCCGCGCTTATCCCTGTATGAGCGATACAACACGCCATTCTTCAGATGGAAAGAAATATTTTTCCTGGCCTGTTTACTCGTTCTTTGGCGCTCTCTAATCTCCTGAATGGTGGCATCCTCTAATTGCTCAGTGGCCAAGTTATCCCTGTTTGCACTCAGAAGTAAAGTAAAGCTATTTGATGCTGGTGGCAGTAACGCACACTCAAGTTCATTATCACGAGATTCCTTCTCCGGATGACCGATCTCTGGGCCTCGCTGCCACGGTTGCCTGAAATGTCTTCCTCTGTTTGCACCACTGTTACGTCATGCGCTTCCTCAGTACTATCTGGCTCCGAGGATAGCTGAGTTGCCAATTTTCGCACCTTCGAACGGGTTAACGCACACACGCACGCACGCACGCACGCACGCACGCAGAGACAGACAGACAGACAGGCAGACAGACAGACAGACAGACAGACACGAGCGCGCGCAAGAAAAAAAGGTACGGGTGTTGCGCAGCCTATCGAAAGATTTTTGAAACTTTATTATGCAGTCGTTCACTTTCATATCCATAGGGGGATGTGTTCATGTGCAGCATATTTAGTGCTCAGGATTAGAGTATGTGTGCTATTATTTATCACCGCTCTATTTTGTGCTTCTTACGAGTTAAAACGAGTGGCCCGCAAATAAGCGACGCTGTTATCATTGATTGATTGATTGATTGATTGATTGATTGATTGATTGATATGTGGAGTTTAACGTCCCAAAACAACTATATGATCATGAGACGACGTAGTGGAAGGCTCCGGTAATTTTTCGACAACCTTCGATTCTTTAACGCACATCTAAATCAAAGTTTACGGACCTCTTGCATTTCATCTCAGCCTATGCAGCCGCTGAGGCCGCGGGATTTGACCCAGCTATTTCCGGGTCACAATTTGAATTGAATTGAATTGAAGTTTATTTGTCCTGATATTCTTGCAGGATCACGAGCAGAGGCTAAAGGCTATATAGCCTGACATGGGGCCTCTGCTCCTAAATACAGTTTGGCACGCAGGCCGCTCAATCTGTCGCATATGTTTTCAGAAATAAATATATCTGAAGAGCACAACAAATAACACACAGAAATAAATAAATAACACAACAAATAAACGATAACACAACAAAATTTAGCATGGTCTTGTTGCACAATTTCAGGGAAAACATTAGAAAATCACTTCATCACAAAAGCGTCATCTGAAAAGAAACTTCATCAATACAGAATGTAAAATAAAGCATAAGAAAAGAAACTACAACACATAACTCAAATTGATAAATAGGATGTAACTAATCAAGTACAGAAACTTTAATAAGCATACTCATGGTGAAACATGTCGAGAGGCAACGCATGAGGGCGGAGTGCACGCATGCGCTGCAAAACTCCGGGCACTGACGCGAATCGCTTTCGCTCTGGCATTTGATGAAGCTTCGTACGAAAGGACACAATCGCGCTCACATAGAATTGCGCAAATCGTCTCTTACCTCCCCATTTTGGTAACACATGCGGGTTTACGACTTCTTAGTCACCAATTACGGATTTTTCTTTCTTTGTCATAGAAGTTTCACGGCGTTTCACCTCTTCGTGCTCAGACATTGATCGGTATTCTTTACCATGTACCATACGAAATTGCATGACATTGCATTGCTGAGTAACTCAAGGGACGAATCGCAACTCATGATTACGGAGTAAGACAAGGAGAGCAGAAAGGCGGGTCTTACAATTAATCTGCAGAAAAACGAAAGTAATGTACAACAACCTCGGAAAAGAGCAGCGCTTCGAATTAGGTAATAGTACTCTTCAAGTTGTAAAAGACTGTCTACTTAGGGCAGGTAATAACCACGGAGCCAAACTACGAGATTAAAGTAACTAGAAGAATAAGAATGGGGTGGAGCACATTTGACAAGCACTTTCAAAGCATGACAGGTAGATTGCCACTATACCTCAAGAGGAAGGTATTTAACAGCTGCATCTTGCCGGTACTTAGCTATAGAGCAGAAACCTGGAGACTTCCTAAGAGGGTCCAGCTTAGATTGAGGACGAGGCAGCGAGTAATGAGAAAGAAAAATGGTAGGTGTAACTTTAAGAGACAAGAAGAGAGCAGAGTGGATTAGGGAACAAACAGGGGTTAAGGATATCATAGTTGAGATCAAGAAAAGAACATGGACATAGGCCGGGCATGTAGCGCGTAGACAGGATAACCACTGGTCATTGAGGGTAACTGACTGAATGCTCGGAGAAGGCAAGCGGGTTAGGGGGAGGCAGAAAGTTAGGTGGGCAGATGAGATTAAGAAGTTTGCGGGTATAAATTGGCAGCAGCAAGTACAGGACCAAGTTGACTGGCGGAACATGGGAGAGGCCTTTGTCATGCAGTGGACCTAGCCAGGCTGATGATGATAATGATACAAAATTGGTTGTCGCTCCCTTTAAGTGGTCTTCTTATGTCGTGACCACACTCACCTGCCACTGTGCTGGTGGTCGTGGGCGGGAGCAAGCCGTAGCACCTGGTGCTTGAAGCGGATCGTCTCGCTGACTCGAAAGTGGCGCGCGTACATCTGCAGGTACTCGAGCAGCACCGAGTGGTGCATGTAGTTCGGAAAGTGCGCTGGAGGCGGGAAGTCGCTGAACGCCGTCAGCTCCTTGCTCGAGTTGATCACCGTCGAGCGCATCACCGACGGTTGTCCCGGGGAACTGTCGTCGCGGAAGCGCCAAAGGCCGCCCAGCGCCTCCGCCTGTTCGAACACGACGGGCTCGAGGCCGGCCTCGAGGCACGACTTGGCCGCAGCGAGGCCCGATGGTCCGGACCCGAGCACGGCAACGCGCAGCGGGGGCGCCGACGACGACATGACTTGGTCGCGCTGTGGACCTGGGTAGGCAAAGGTTTTGACGGCAATGAGAATGCAGAATCTAAGCACAGTTAAGCAATCCATTTAGCAGAAATTGCAGTGGTGTCTCGTATCCCAGAATATTTTATAGTAGATAATCATTGCTAAAGTTTTTACACACTGGACACGGGTAGACTGTAGATCGAGCATACAAACCAAGACACGCATCTCTCTGCAACTTGTTAAATTGTAAGTTTATTCAACGAGAATTAACCCTAATCCCACGAAAGAACACCATCGAGGTGCGAGAGCACTTTCACGGCCTTAACAGCTTGATGCAATACATTTCCTGTTCGCCACAGCTATAGTGGTCCAAGTGGCAGATGCGTTTTGACGTCGTCATACAAGAGTTGGTCACGTGTAAGCAAGATCTCGCGATGTTCCAGATCTCTATGATCTATCTGCTGTGATGACGTTACTTAGTTTTTTACCATACATTTAGATACATGCCGCTCGCTGTCTCACTATCATGTTGTGGTCAACAGCTAGGAAGTCACGTTTTGTTCTGGTAATGACAAACATTAATGTCATGCTCTTGTTCACGGAGCATTTCCTTATAGAGCCAATCACCATTTGTTTTTCTTTTGTTGTTTTTTGGGAGTGGGGTACAGGTACAGCTTCAACAACTGTGAAAGACTGCAAGATACACTATCTTAAGGTGGGGCATAACTTACGCAGGTTTTCGTTGTAAAGCACACTCGGCTGTTATATTGCCCAGGTGGTTTTCCTGATGTTATGTCTGGCACAATCATTGGCCGAAATTTCACCTATACACGAAAGATTTGAGCCTATAGCCTTGGGAATGCGATTCCCCAGGCCGAATTCACAAAACTTCTCTTTTGCAGCTAAGAGTAGAATCTTGGACAGTGGCACACTCCCACGCTGGGGGATTGGCCAGGAACCAGGTAGTTTTCAGAAGGAATTCTTATTTATTAGATTGAATGTCGTCTAGTTATAGTTAAAGATTAACATCGTAACGTAACAAAATTGCAAATACTACCAATAGATGAGTACAAACATAGGTAATAACTTTGAGCTGGGTAATTAGGAAGCAATAATTCTAAGTTTCAGCGCAATTTAGAAAATAGGAGTGCGATCACAACAAAGGTCATGCGCGGTGCCGTAGTTGTCCGCCGCCGCCGCCGGTGTCCGTAACCACTATCGCTCGAACTGAGCAAAAAAAAAAGGGCAAATGAAAATAGCTTGGACACAGTGGTATTCGAACCGAGGTCCCTTGCGTGCCATCCATTCCCAGTATTTCACCGCAGAGTCGCACCGGGGATTGAAACTCCGTTGCAAACTTGCCTTAGACAGGCTTGATGTCCGTAAAGCAATCGCGTATCAGTAATGAAGCGTTTTAGAACAGCAAAGGAACAACCAGGAGTTACACAATGCGAATTCCGTAACGAGTGGGTCGTTCAATGCTCTAAGCCATTAAAAAAGAGCTTGTTGTTGATCACCTATCAACTGTGGCGCATACCCGCTTCAGGCATATTTCTTTGTCGTCGTCAGCCACTACATAAAAATTTGCACATATTTTGCAAGCGTGTAGCAGGCACCACGCTTCTCTGAAGATTGACAAAGAATAGCATTGTGAATGTCGGTACACTACACAAAAATTTTGATGATTTATGGCCTAGTGGGTACCCAGCAAGTGTGCCTGTAGCAGTTACGCAGAGTGTTGAGAAAAAACTCTGAAAGGCCAATCTTTCAGCGTTGGTGTGACTGTGCTGCACGTTCCGCGCCGGCCTCTTTCGTGAGCACATATTCCCATTGGTCAGCCGACTTCGCTAATGATATGCCCATGACTTGATTGGCTTAAATGCTTCCCTGCGAATTTTTTCAGCTCGAGAAGTGTCTGTGAGCGCGGGCCCTGGTTTGGGAAGTGCAGCCAAGTTGTAGTGAATTCGCAAAGCCCTGCTTTGAGGCGACCGGCACTTTTTTCTCCTTCCAGGCTAACAACGAAAATAGGGTAATCATAAAAGGATATGCCCGTAAAAACACGGAACAACCGACACTACAAAAAAAAACGCATTTTGAACTATGGGCCACTGTGTAAATATCAGTCGATGCACAGGCTCTTTGTTTCGACACAGGGGACAGCTGCTGGGCTTATCAGTGGGGAAAACACCACAATTTCTGTATGCACAGCTGACGACAGCTGCTGATGAGATTCGAGATTGTTTCGCCGTATCAACGTGCTTCACAACGGTCGCTAGCCAGGCGAGACAAAGTGTCCACGAAATCCGCGCTCAGCCGTGCACGACACAGAAGAGTTTCATCCCGCCGTGATGTTCTTGAAGGAATGCGAAGTTGCAACTTCGATTGCGTTGCCTGAGATCGATGGAAGCGTGAACGGAAATTGGTGAAGTCCTTTGCGCTGTACTGCACCAAAGTAAGTCAACGGTATACATTATGGCAGCAACATATAGAGTGCCTATCGCGAACGATGTCTCAGATCGGCTAAAATAATCTGCACGGCAGCTCACTTTTGCTAACATATGACTGCGACTAAGATACGTTGCGACCTTTTTGAACCGAGCATTGACCAATGCATTTGACCTAAGTGTAAACCTTGCCCTATATATCACGTTGAGCACAAGGACTAAACATTGTTCATACGGATTTCGTGAGCATAGTGCATTTTTATGTGTTAACTTTCCGAAAGCTTACTTTTTAATCAAAGCATTTGGTACATACTAAAATTACTCAACTTTATAACATAATTTACACTGTACTTTGTAGTTTTTACATCATAACAACAAACATATACGTTTTTTACGTATGGTGAGCTTTACTTTCCACACATCATTTAAATTTAGCGCATGTGCAAGTTAAGCGATTTTTGAGAGTGTTACAATTTCCAAGAACTTGCGTGTGGGTCTGTGTTCTTGGTACTTAATTAAGTGGTCTATATGTCCATATGCATAAATATGCATAAATGTCCATATGCATAAATGATGATTTTTTACTAATGCTTTACGTCTAAGGCTTAATGAACGATGTGGCCATATCACTATGGTTTACGAGATATTTTGATAATGCCTCGACAAGTTTACTGCCATACGAATATCTTCTTGAAATCAGAAGGTTGATGAATGCTTAAGCCAGCGTCTTGGAGGACAGCTGTGTGCTTAAAGCCTGAAGGAACAGGTTCAACATGTGTGTTTATAGAAGTGTTTCAATTGCTTTTTATTCATGAAATGTTAATCAAGGCATGTTTATATCCGGGTGTCAAAGGCGCAGATATCTGGCGAGCCTCTGTTTCAGCGTGTTAGATTGAAGTGTCATGCCAATAGAAAAAAAAAGTGTGAGTATTCGCACGCATGTGGTAGAAGTTTATTCCCGTGCCGCGTAGGTCGTTCCATGTGTGCTCGCACTCCAGTAGCACACATCGTTTGGCCTGGCTTCGATATAATGTCAAGGGTCAACGCATGTTCTTGGCCGAATAGCCAGAGCTTGGCAAACAATGGCACGCAGCAACGCACCAAAGGTTGTGGAAAATTCAATTATAAACAGGTCAGCCGCTTGCGTAAGTCGGTGTCACTACCTCCGAACTGTATGTATTGCTCCACTTTCGAGATTTTTTATGTTGCGATTGCCGACATACAGGGTGGTAGTCGTGTACTATGACATACTATTCCTCCGTTTCGTTTGATGTCAGATAAGTTTATCGTGTGGCATATAGAAGACAGGTTTGTTACCTGTATGTCGTCCGAATATGAGACAATTACTGCAGAAAATTCCCATTAGCTACATGCATAGAAATCTTGATGCAACTTCGATGTTTCCGAAAGGGTCTCTACTAAAAATGCTACTGTTAGTGCATACAAATAATCCTCATCATGTGACCTATCTGTGTTGGTTGCTTACGACAAAATATGACCATAGGCAACTTGCAGAGCATGTAAAGTGAAGCAATCTACATCGTTAACGGTACTAGATTTAGCATACCTTTCGGGCGTTTACACGTGAACCATCGCTTAGGTGACCCTGTGGAAAAGGTAATGAAGCCACTTCAGCTGTAATTGGAAAGAAAGCGACCTCGACTGCGTACAAACGAACAGCGCAGAGCTCGCAAAACTTTGCTTCTTTAACCCTTCGAAACCGAGCCAGTGCGGTATTATACGACGTGTTCTGCCTAATTAAAATGGTCTCACCTATCCGGTCGGTTATCGCGTAATAATATCGGGGGTTTACGTCCCAAAACCACGATATGATTATGAGAAATGCCGTGACTCCAGAAATTTTGACCACCCGGTGTTCTCTAAGGTGCGACCACGGTATACACGGGCCTCTATCATTTCACCTTCCCCCAAATGCGACCACCGCGGCCGGGATCGCACCCGCCACCTTCGGGTTAGAAGCCGAGCACCTCGGCCATGCACTGTTCAATGAAGGCTGTCCTGTTACTGCGTAGCTCCGCCAGCACCTCATACGTAAACGAGGCGCGACTTTTCTCCCTTCAACTGTGAATCATTGGCAAATGAGGCGAGCTCTGCTTAATACCAGAATGCACCGCATTCTGGCAGTGCAGGTGCATTATAGCAGTGTATGCATATCGGAGGGTCATGCCTTTGCATTGTTGTTGTAGCAGTATAGTTGCCGTGTTCTTGTTGGTGGTGCCCCAGGTGGTCGAAATTACCGGAGCCCTCCACTACGGCGTCTCTCATAATCATATGGTGGTTTTGGGACGTTAAACCCCACATATCAATCAATGAGTTGTTGTTGGTGGTGTTTTGTGCTTACACTGAGGTAAGAACCAGTCCTGCCAGTATTCCACAGGAAATTGTGACTTTATGAAGTTGGCGGCAGGAAATTGTGACTTCAGGAAATTGGTGACATTACGCGAACGTGTAATGGACGTTTCATGTAATGGCCATAAAAACAGGCTACGCAGTGATGGTGTGATGACAGCATTAGTTTTCATGTTTTCCTGCCTATGGTAACATTCACTACCGCGAACACTACTCAAAGACAGGTCACAAGCACAATGGCGATCGCTCGACGCAGTACTAATGAATGATGACAAACCAAACAATAAAAGTAAGAGTGGTAGATGCAACCTACCGGTAGTTAAAATTGTGAATTATTCGCACCACCACTTTTATGAAGCAGAGCGTAGTCCCCGGCACTGCTTGGTATTTGTCTAAGAAGACCACACGCCTCTCCATCTCTGCTGTTGTAAATCGCAGCTCAAGTTCGCCAGTCCCGGTGTATACGAATGCACAACGCGTACTCCGCCGTCGTACAGCATGTGTCATATTGTCGCGCACTGCCCGCGAACACGCGCACATCTGCATTTACCGGATAGCTTGTCAATGGCTCTCACCTGGTCAGTCGTAACACGTGCTTCCTGGCTTCCGCATGCTCCGGCCGCCCGTCGTGTCGTCGTGGTGGTGGTAGTGGTTACAATGAAGAGGAAAAAGGCACCTAATTTCTGTCTGCCTTCAGGCGACACGGCGCAGTGCCTTATAGGGGTGGGGTTAAGGAGGGATAAAAAGGATAGAAGGAAAGTAGAAGCAGAAGAAGACAGCCAACGAGAGGAAAAAGAAGGAGATAGGAAAGTGGGGATCCGGTCGAAGCAGTCCAAGGGCGGGGTGCCACAATGCGAGAGCTACACGGCATCAGGAGACCGCGGAGGGCGAACCAGTCGGCGGGAGCTACGCTGAAGTCGGAGATCGCGAGGGCACAACCGTCCAGCTTGAAATCCTGCGAGCGAATCTGTCGTCGTAGCGTCGCGGGCGAAAGTGCCGCCATGGCGGCCCCCTTCGCGATACGGCGGCCCCTTATTTGGGTTTTCGGGTCCGCTGCTGCCCCCTCCTCACGCCTCGCGGCCGATCCTGGCCGCAGCAGCAAGCTGAGCCCCCCTCGCGTACAGGAACAGCGCGTAGTCCAGGCACACTTCCTGCTCTCGCCGTTCCGCCTCCTCGCGCCTGCAACCCCATTGTGTAATGCGTGTCCTGACCCTTCCCCTTCCACACTGCTACGAAAAAGAACGCACCGCTACAGCTTTTCTCGGCCGACAGCCACGGCACTGGAATGGACGAGGCGTTGCTCTCCGAATTAAGGGTGCTGGCTGAGCCTAGAATTTACTCTTGAAGGGGCACTGACACCGATTTTCAAAGTTTTCACTCGGCCGCGCGAACCTTCTGTATACAGGGGCGGCTGCGAACAAGCGTGAAGCTTACAAGATGCTGATGGATGGATGGATGCAAAACTTAACCCTGAGATGCACAACTCAACGCGCAGCGGGCCTCTCCCACGGTGGGGCAGTGGGCCCAAACCCGACAGCCGCATCGTAGGCCCTCTGGACAGCCCACAGTTGATCCCCGACATTGGGGCTCTTGATAGCGGATAACCACTTTTCTTTATTGGGTTGGTCTGTGCCCCGCAATGAGGAGCAATGGAAGATCATGTAGTCTACGCTAGCGATGAGATATTTTATTATGACATTACGGTCGCTTTTAGCATGGCTCACCTACTGACATCGACGCTATAGTGACGCAAGCTGCAGTATCAATTCTCGTGCCTTGACGCACCAGCAGTGTTGTACACCACTGAAAAAAATGTAATTCATACGTTACTCGTTACACTAACAAAAAAGGAACGCGTTACCACCCTACGTTACTTCCAAAATAAAAAAAAAGGTAACGCGTTACCGTTACAAAAAAAAAAAGTAATGGGCGTTACTGTTAAAACGCATGACACTCGTTCAACGAAACATATGTGACACGTCGTTTATTCACATCAGCATGGACTTAGGCAAACCCAAGTTCACGCGCAGCACGAGCGTCACGAGACGGGCGAGCCGCGCTCACTGCTCGTGATGTTGATATAGGTCTCCGATGTCATAGCTTCTTCCCTTCTCAAAAAAATTAAACGATCAGGAGAACGGCACTCTCGCGTTGAGCGCCGCAATTGGTTGCTGAGTTGCCGGAGTCGGTGAATATCTTGCGTTTTCACCCGAAAGTTCTTGACAGACCAATAGCGCATCGGTGTCGAACGATCCGTCAATAGAAACGTCCTGTCGTTTCACTTGGTCAAAATGCCGTTGGTCCGTTCCCTCAGTCGTGTCCATGGTGATCATGCGCTTGCCCTGCTGGTCACGCACGATACCTGGTATTCACTTTTAACGAGATAGCGTTAAAGAGTTCGTTTCGCAGAAATTCCGGTGTTGGCGTCATTGGTTGTGCGAGTGAAAAATCGTCGTCGTATGCGTGACCCAAAAATTGAGATCAATGCAAATAAAATAAATAAATTATAAAGATTACTTAAGCGGAATGGAGATCAAACCCGGGTCTATTCAGTGGCAAGCGGATGTTCTACCACACCGGCCACGCCTCTGCTTGTGAAAACAGTGAAAAGAACTTCCTCCGCTTAGAAATGCAGTGAAAGTAGCTCTCATGCTTCACAAACACACGCGTCCTTGCTACACGTGACATGAAATATCGCAGTAATAATACGTGGTCTACAAGCGTCCATTGCCAAATGGTGTCAGAATATGTGATTATCATAACTCTGTGGTTGAAAGCCGGTACCCCGCTACAAAAGGCGCATACGCTACTGTGCCTATTCCCTTAAGGCCACTTATAGTGAGTGCATGGCAAATTGGAAAAGATTTCATGCAATAAGTGTTCGAAATACATACCAAGAACAAGATGTCGCTATCGTGTTCAACTCCTTAAGTCTAATCTTTAGGGTCCCCTAATTTTTTTTCTGTGGTCGGAACGTTCGAGTCCAAACACGCTGACCTACCGGCCATTATTGCTGTTCTGGTTCATTGCACAGCTTTGCTCTAACCGCCTCGGTGGTCGGTATAATGGAGTCGAGTTTCGTTCTCACTTGATACCCCAGCAAAAGCTCCGCTGGAGACTTGCCCTCTTTCACTAGCATGCGGCGGTAACGGAACAGAAGTCTTGATATTCGAGTTAGTAGCGTAATTTCTTCGTTTTTGTTCCAGCATTCCTTCAATGATCTTATGTCTCGCTCTGCTAAACCGTTTGATTGGGGATGATGGGGCGCTGTCGTCAAGTGTTTTACTTGGTTCTTAGCTAGGAAATTGCGCACAAGAGTACGAGGTAGACCGAACTTCCCAAACATTGCCCGCAGCGCTTCCAGTGTCACTTCTGCTGTTGCAGATTTCATTGGGACTGCTACCATTCACTTCGTTTCGGAATCCACAACTACGAGTATGTCACGTGTCCTTCAATAGGACCTGCACGGTCGGCGTGCAACCGACTCCATTTCTCTCCCGTCGTGCGCCATGGTACAGGTGTCTGTACTGGAGGCATCGCCTCAGCCTGTACAAGCAGGGACTTCACGCACCAATCGCTCGATGTCACCGTCTACACCCGAAAACCAAAACAGGAATCTTGTAATGTTCTTCATGATCACCGTGCCTAGGTTCGTTTCATAAAACAAGTCCAAGATGCGTTGATTTATAGCCGCGGAAAGCACGATACGGTGTCCCAAGTAGACCAAGTCTTGGTTGTAAGTGAGTTCAGCTTTCTTGCTGAAGTACAGCCGAAAGCGGCTCTGCTCTTCAGACAAAAATTTTCGGCCAGCCTTTCTGAATCCAGAATTTGACTTGCTGCAGCAGAGGATCTGTTTCTGTAAAATGTACCACACCTCTGACCCTAATCGCTTCCCTTTTCAAGCATTCGTTTACCGCATCGGCGGCAGACCATATACGGGCGGGATAGCACTGCTCATTCGAGTGAGCTTTACTGCCGCACCTATGGCAAGGTGTCATGCCTTCGGCCTTCGATTGCCCTTTTCCTTGCCGATTCTTCTACATGAAGTGTATGCCACTCTGATCCGTAGATTGCACACTTCTAGCGTTTGCGGCCGCTGATATAACTGAAAGAACGAAATACTCAGCTTCCGCGAGTGTCATCTTCCTCAAACTCTTCAAACGTCGTCTCACATCTTCATTTAACACTCCACAGACGATTCGGTATCGTAGCATGCGTTTGAGAGACGATGAGAAATTGCATGTTTTCTGCCAGCCACCTTATTTCAGCAACAAATTCGTATGCACTTTCCCCTTCTAGCTGTGATCAAGTGAAAATAGCGTGACTTGCCGCTATATTGGTGACTTACTGGGTGTAGTACTCCGCGATGTACTTAACAGCGTCGTCGTATAGTTGAGTGCGTTGCCTATGATGGCGACATTCTCTTTTCCTTACTTTTCTGTCGCCCATTTCCCTTCCCCAGTGTAGGGTAGCACACCAGACACTTGCTTTCTGGTTAACCTCCCTGCCTTTCTTCATACCATATCTCTCTCTATATACCGCTAGAATCGCGCTGTCCGGTATAGAGTGCACTGCGCGTCGCTTTGTAAGCCAAGCAATGTTTTAGCCCGTATGTACATTTAGCTCGTAATATGCATAGTATGAACCGGTGGCACGCAGTAGGCTTTACGCATTTTTTGTGGCACATAACCATTTACGATAAAACGTGACGAAATGCCATGCCGACGAGCCGAGAACCTAAATTCCATCACCCCTAAAGAAGCAGGCATGTCAACCAGTTCAGGTTAGCCAACATGCTATCCTGCTTTGGAGAAAGGATTGGGGCTGTTTGGAATCTGTCTAGCAGAAGGGGGCCTTCAATAATAAGCCCAGCACGTCATATATGTTCACGTCTTGATCACTATCATAAGACTGAACCTGTTTTAGTGCACACTAATCTGTTTTTTTTTTTCACTCGCCTACTTCTCATCGCCATTGGTGAATGGAATGTTCTTCCTGCTGATATCACAGACACTGTTAATCATGAGTGATTTGTTAATCATCTAAAGCCATTCGTAAATCAGGTGAGCTAATTGCTATCAATACCCGTGTCTTTCATCTCCAACGTAAATATGATCTACTGTTCAGTGTATAAGTAGTGATTGTTTTTCTTAAGCATTGTATAACTTTCAAACGTTTTATTTTGTTTTCACTTACTCTTGTTCGTGTATTCTAATATATCGTTCAATGCTTATGCTTCTATATTATTCAGCCCAGTCATTGCTCTTGTTCCCCCCTGTAATGCCTTCTGGGCCTTCAGACGATCTGAATAAAACATTGAAATGTTTGTCGGTAGATCGTTAATAAAGATGCGAAAATGCGGGAGCCAGAAATGTTTAACTATGCGATTTCATGTGATGTTAATTATCAACATCATCATCGCATTCATTCTGACTCAGCAATTCAAAGCAAATACCTCTCCCATGTTCCGCCAATCAACCCGGTCCTGCGCTTGCTGCTGCCGCGTCATACCTGCAAACTTCTTAATCTCATCTGTCCAGCTAACTTTCTTTCTCCCCCTGGCGCGATTGCCTTCTCTTAAAATCCAGTTAGTTACTCTTAATGACCAGTAGTTATCATGCCCACTGGCTCTGTGCGCTTCTCGCGTCCGTTTCTTCTTTTTTAATTCGACTATGATGCCGTTAACACCCGTTTCTTCCGCGACACGCTCCGCTCTCTTCTCGTCCCTCAAGGTCACACTTAATTTCTTTCAATCGCTCGCTGCGTCGTCCTCAATTTGCATTGAACCCTCTTTGCAGCCTCCAGGTCTATGCTTCGTAAGTTATTACCGGTAAGATGCAGTTGTTGTATGCCTTCCTCTTGAGGGATAGATGTAAACGTCATTCTTTATTTGAGAATGCTTGCGGAATGTGATTCACTCATTCAGTCATCAGCGAATCGCAGGTTATTTAGGTACTTTCCATTAACTCGCAATTCTAACGTTTGTCATTCTGGGGACCCGGAAACCTAGGATACAGTGGTGAATAGCGATGGAGAGATCGTGTCGCCTGTCTTACATCCTTCTTTATCAAAACTTATCGTTTTCTTCATGGAAGACTATGGTATCTGTCTATATTCTACATGGCTGACTGGAATCTAGATTGTAAAACCCGGTGACTGCATCAAAAGGGCACGTTGTGCCGGTAAAATAGCGCATCCCCGTACATAGTAACAAAGCGGAGCCGATGTCTGTCGTTCTTTGTTCTTAAGCTTGCTTATGCTGGATTGCAATGCAGTATGTTTGTTTCACTGATATATGAAGCGCTCAGTAAAGACCATAACATTGCGCACCACAAAATTAATGCGTGCATTCATTTTAGTATATATACGAGCATTTCTGTACAGCTCACATCCACCGCAGTTCTTCTGTACGGGGAACTGTGCGTTGTCGAATTACAAATCTCGCATTTCGGGCATATATACAAGAGATGAGCTGCTACAGAAGACTGGACAAAGAAGTGACATGTATACAAGTTAAGAATAGAAGCCAATTTCTCTAGAATGTTAATAGAAGCTTATTGTTTTACCTTATAGGCGCGGCTTAAACGAATGTCAGCGCGACAAAAACAGGGATGAAAATAGGAAAGACAGACTTATATATAAAACAAACCTAACGATTTCTCGCAACAAACAGTATAATAATAAACGGGCTCCTATGGGTTCAATTTCGGTTGCTATCAGTTACAACCATACCGAAATACAAACTAACTCTAGAGACCAGGAATGCCAGGAACGTATTCATTATTCATACAGGAGTAAGCAGCTGCAACTCTTATTTAATTCAAAACTTGTGGAGCAAGGAAAAAAAGCAGGAAATACGAACTTACCGTCAGTGAGGCTGAATCCACCATAATATCAGACGTGCTAAATGTGCACTCTCTCCTCTTCATACTCGCCCGTCTGGTCTCTTGACGATGACAAAATTGGTCGCATTGACCTTGTTCGGGTATATTCATAGTCCTCCTACCCTCCCATTAGCCCGAAAGTATGCAGACTTGTTTTTTTTTCTTTTAGTTTTTAGCTGGAGTGAAGCTCCGCCAGTGGGTCTCACCGCGATGTTCGCCACGGCACACCCCTTTGAATGGTCGGCGCACGGTTTACGGTCATATAGCCTATGGACGTCCGTTACCTGCATAGGTACACGAAACCACGTGTATTCACGTGTCTTCGTAATTACACTATTCGGGAATCCCCGAAGGCTCGTAAGACAAAACAAAGGCTTTATCCGAGGCCAGCGACCTCCATGATTCTCGTCTTCGGGCCGGTTTCATCGTAGTGCGAGGCGCGACTCGCTATATGCGGTGTTTACGGCTGCGGATGACTTGGAGGTCGACACGTGCCGGCGCCGGCGGAAAGGCACTGCGCCCCTACTCACCCCCGGTGCCTCCTTGCCCGTTTTATTTGGCCCGCTGCCGCCGGCAAACACACCGGCGAGGAAGGGAAGTGATGCCGCAGACACCTTGGATTGGCGTCCGGTTGGCTCTGCCGTTGCGTATGGTGCCCCGATGAAACTAACTAACGAAGCGAACAGGAAGAGAGCGTCGGGTGCGCGCTTTTGTGCCAACCAGGGGGCGCTGCGCTCTGCGTCGAGTGATACAAGCCGGTGCTGCATGCCATCACGTGAGTGCACCGGTAACGGTTCATTCCCAAACATATCGCGTCCCGCCGCAGACCTGGAAGCATGCCGAGTCGAGTGTGACGGTTGCCGATGTTCTCGATCTGCACCGCATGTCCACCGCGTCGTCTGCGTTGCTCCATGCACTTGTAGCCGACGGAACGGTCTTGTCCCATCACTGCGCGTCGCGAATATATCTCGCTAGTGATGCTTTCGCGCCCGGTGAAGATGACGCTCTTACGTTAGCGAGCAAACTGACAGGTACGCCGATGCTATGCTCGTTTTGTTGCCATAACACGTTATCGACCGCAGCTTCGATAAAATCGCATCGCCCTGAATCCTTCGATACTCGTGATAGGCTATAAAAGCCCTCCTGTCATAACTTGGGGAAAAGGGAATAAACCTGCGATCACGAAGCTCGATTTGCGCGTATCGCTAACAAAGGCAGCCGTGAGACAATGCATAACAAAGACCAGCAGCCATTGACATACATTCTCCATAGCGACAACTTCGCTTCCATACCGATAACGTATCAATGTGTGTGTTCGGCGTGTGGCATCATTGCGAGTTATCGTGCCCTAGATTAGCGGTACGGTGAACATTACTTTGTTGCTTTAATATGCAGCAAGGTCGTTGCAACTAGGCCGACCACGCGCAACCATTCAATGACCGAAGGGCAACACGGCAGCAACGCAGTCACACGCAACTTTTGAAGTTTACATGACTCGGCAGACACAGCTCGGGAATCGCACACCGCTGCATGAAATGCCAAGTGCGTTTTATCCTTCAATAACAAGGTAACAGGTGTAAGTAACAAGTTTTCCGCCGCATTGAGCAATAAGCCCGGTCCCTTCTTCGCGTCGAGCTGCTTTGCTCTACTACTGGGAAAATGGTGGCTGCCGTCCATTATTGCGTATAACAAGCGCAAGTAAGTGAAGGAAATGACGTCAGCTCTCTAGAGTCCGCCCTCTACTGACGCGCTTCAGCAGATGTTACGCGCAATTTCTTTTCGCCCTCCTCTCGCTTTAGTTCTTCGCTCCTTTCCGTGCAGCCCATTTGCTTCGCGAGTGACCCGCCTTCTTCCTATAAGCAAAAAAAAAAAAGTGCGTTCCTAGCAAGCATTTGTTTTGTTGCCTATATGAGGTCACGGTGCATGCAACTGACGCGCAATTTCGTAGCGCTTGCTCAACGTTGCCTCCGAAACAAGCCGTTACTCTTACAACTCCACAGACGCTTATGCCGTCTGCCATATACTTCCTGCAGGTCTAGTGTAGCCGCCGATAACGCGGTAGCGATTGGCAAGAATGAAACGAGCCGGAAGTTGCACGCGACGAGCAAGAAAGCGTCCCATATACAGATCTCTTTCGAGACGAGGCATGAAAAGTTACGAGGAGTCAACGAAGTCTGACGCATCTAGGAAGTCTACGAGATAGATGCTAGCGGTGACAAATCCGCCGATATCGCGTTCCTGGTATTCATCGATGCTATGACTCGCGAAGTGGTAACGACCACAGGAGAAACAAGTATACGAAAAGATTAGCACGTCTACACTTTTTTCTACTGTTTTTTATGTTTAGTTCCACTGATCGCACTGAATATTGGAATACCACATCCGTTCAGTTCGTCATGCTTCTCTTCATTAGAAAGAGGGCAAGCACAAATATTCCAAATTTAGAATACTTGTGCCATTTTCTTTGTTGCTTTAATCGGTTGGTGATTAAATATTTGAATAATTGTTGACATGTGGCCACGGTGCGCTTGTGTCATTCGACCTTCCCTATACTTCTCGTGTCTGTGATAGTGAATACAGGGGCTTGCAATAGAATCGAAAGTTGGGCTAGTTGAATATGCATGTTAAAACTGTCAGTTCAAGCGCAGGAATAAACAGAAAGGAAGAGAGGACAAGCGCTTATACAATACAGGGGCTTTTTATCTGTGCCAAATATAACGATTGCAAAATTTTTAATACCAACTCCTGAAGAAGTAATTGATTGATATGTGAGGTTTAACGTCCAAAAACCACCATATGATTATGAGAGACGCCGTAGTGGAGGGCTCCGGAAATTTCGCCCACCTAGGATTCTTTAACGTGCATCCAAATCTGAGCACACGGGCCTACAACATGTCCGCCTCCATCGGAAATGCAGCTGCCGCAGCCGGGATTTGATCCC